AATTTTGTTTGTCCTCCTCCTACAATAGGCTATTTGCAATTTTATACTTAGATTAAAACAAAATCTCTTCTGTACTAATATGTCAGTTTCTTTAAACAAAACAGTTATGTTAATTCACTTGGTATTGTTTTACTTGAATCTTCCCATGGATGTTTCGGACTGCAATTGATCAGTCTCTTATTGGTATATGTGCATACTGCGCGTATTGCCTCGATGTTGCCTTGATTTACAAGCATCATAAGCAAAGATGAACTTGGGACTCAGTAGTTAAGTGGATAACGCGATGGCATTTGAAGCGAACGGTACTGAGTTCTAGTCCCAGGTTGAACATCAACTATGAGATGTGAGGAAATCCAGCTGAGGAGTCCCAAATAGAATTAAACACACGTCCTGGATTCCACTGCCAGCCACTATCCATCTTTGCTTATAAAACAGTTATGTTTCTAATAAAAACAACAACAACAACAAAACTTACCTTGTTACACATCAATCAATGTAGAATAACTGGAATTTCAAATATTTTCAATCTTCTTAATTATTTGAAAGAATGTAGTTAAACCATCAACAACAACAACAACAACAAAATAAACTTCAGTTTTTTCAATTCTTTCACTTGAATTTTACATAAAAAACAAACAAACAAACAAAAATTCAGAAAACACTTGGCAACAAAAAATTCCAAACTATAATATAGAAACTAATCACTTGACAATTTATCGAGTAATTGAGATCGATATATTGTAATTTACAAAAAAAATCATTACTGGTTTTTTGGTGGATATTATAAGTAATTTGAATTGGTTGAGATCATAAGTCAATTGAAAGTAGATCACCATGGAAATACTGGATGGTCATTTCATCCTATTGTGGGACTCCTCCTTAACAATGTGCATCTACGATCCCGTCTCGCGAAATTCGAACCCAGGACGTATCAATCTCGTGCGCGAGCATTTAACCGTTAGACCACTGAGCCGGTATTCAATGGTGTTATAAATAACATGTGAATAGTGGCTACAAATAAAATACAAAATTTTATCGTTTAAGAAAATCATGAACTGATCAATGTTAGATTACCATTGTAGAAAGATTGAAGTTAAAGATTAATACAATTGGATGCTAAGTCATTGGTCAGGCGTTTGCGCGTGACATCGAAGTTTCTAGGTTAGATCCCTGTGTGCGAGGTCGTAGATGTACACTGCTAAGGAGTCTCATACTAGTAAGAGATGCCTATCCAGTGATTCCAGGTTTTCACTAATGGTCTGGAATTGTTCGGTTCATGAGTTCAATAATAAATAATTGCTAAAGTAGTAAACGGAAGTCAGTGTTCAAGCATAATGTGTATAAGGCAGTTATCCATTAATTAGATTAGATGGTTACATAATATTAAAAAGGCGAATGGAAATTTAATATGCAAACTATTGGACTTCGTTTAAGTGATCTAGAGGTTAAGCGGTTGGTATGAGACCTTTATGTCTTGGGTCTAATCTATGATAAGATAATGAATGTACACTATTGGTGGCTCCCGTAACAGGACGAAAGAGCTGTTCAGTGCTTCATAATTTCTTATGATTATCTAACTAAGATCAACTCATAGTGTGAGATATTAAACTGACTGTGGACATTGACATTTATCATTTAATAAATACCATTAATTCTAATTGAATCTTATTGATGTACATTAAATAATGATCACCATTGTGATCCATCTATTTGATGTTGTTTAAGATTTGAGAGCAAGACGTACTTTTAATATTCAGAGAACTGATGTCCCATGAAGAATCGGAACCTTCTTCACTTCGCACAGCATTCAGTAATGTTAGTCACTGCTCGGTTGACCTGCTGTAGGACTGAGATGATTGCATTAATAAACATACCACTCATCATTTTTAATCGAGGAATACAAATTACATAATGGAAAACTTTAATTTATTTTCAAGATTGTATGGAAACCCGTTACTGAAAAAATGGTTGTGCTGTTAAGAGAGTATTCAGCTACTTTAAACTGGCTTGATGAAAAGATCGTTTTTAGACATTTTCATTATACGTCATGAAACAAAATATATACGATATTAAAATTATTGAACTGTTTTACATAAGACTTGAAGTCATTGATTGTCATTTACATCGGGGGCGATGGTCACAATAATCATAGGTGGGAGATGGTGATAGACAACTTGACAGAACGAATTCGTCCTGGAGTGTAGCGCGAATACGTTGTTTCCCACAGAACCAGGATCTTCAGAGATACAAAGTTACGAAGGATGGGTCCTAAAAACATTTAACCCTACCTTCCTCCCACAGATTGCTGTTGGAGATCGTAGTCTGAAATGTAAGGAGTTAACGTACCAAAAACTCAAACATATCGTGTGACAGGTCATAAGTAGTTGTAACTTGACCTCTATAGTTGCCCCTTCAGATCACCAAGACCATCCTTAACCCAGTTTGTTTTCCAGATTCTTCAAGAAGCATCCTTTTACGGCGGGAGACTGGGAAATAAAAGCTCTCCTCTTACATCTAAATCCATTCAAACTAATCTTGCTCATGATCAAATGTCTTCTGAGCACAGTCTGCAACCGGTTTCTATTAACAGAAACTAGGGGATTGATCCAACAGAAAGAAATCAAGCAAGTGCTTTTCTCACTATCAAGAAGTTGGATGATGAAAGTCACAGATGTCATCAATCTGGTGGCGAATAACTAAAAGTGCTACTTAAAGAATATTTTGCCAGATAACTTGTTTCGGTTCGAAAAAAGTAACGAAAAACACTAGATCTTTAAAATCATTCTGATTTCCTTGTTACCTGGTGCCTATGCACTCAACCAACATTAAAGGAGTTATAGATTGCAGTATTTCAGAAGACAACAAGACAAACTAAGAATCATCATTGTGAAGCTATGTGTGACTTACAACCAATTAATTCCATGTTTAAAACCCAAAGTTGCAACAGTAGAATAGTATTACAGTATAGCGTAAATCAAATGTAAAAACCCTCACAGATTATGTCACTTTTTATTATTCTCTCTAATATTCAATGGTTAACTGAACGAATGCTGGGAATAAATCTCGTTGGTGAGTGGCCAGTTAAATTTGCATTTTTCAGGCGCTTACATTGCAAATGACTTTTTAATGTTTATTCATATCAAATAACTTGTATATAGGCACGTCATTTTACTAGGAGAAAAATGTATTCCACTCCCTGACCATGCTGTTTTAATGACACAAGTTGACCCAATAACTCGATTTCATGAGCTATTACAGTTGTAAAATATTTATCAAATACATGAAAATATACCTACTAAGTTTTGAGCTACACTAATCTAATCAGATTAGCTACTTGTGTAGAAGGTTTGTAGACTGAGACTTGAACCGACGACTATTTTATAGTTGGAATCTGAATAGTTTTAACGATTAATTCACTACTTTCAGGATTTATAAGCTGACCATATAGTTTCATTAGGTATCATCTAACGATCTTCATCCTCCTTATCATTTCAATGATCAAAGATGTGTTCAGCAACATCGCTATCACAGAATGACATCTTGAAAAATGCACCTCCTACTTATGACATAACAATATTGTACATTACAATGTAAAACAGAAATATGTAAGCAATTTTTATATCACTAATAATGATAATAATAATAATGTTTAACGTAATACAGCAATTAAAGGTCATTTTTATTAGCACTAAAGCATTGTGTTTTAAAGATAAACATACATAAATATATAATACGATGAATTAAGTGTTTAAACACCTAAACTCTAATTGTTTCCAATAATTGAACCTTCTATTTAGTATGTACAAGGCACAAACTGCTGCATATATATATATATATATATATATATATATATATGTGTAGCTTTGCGCGTGTGTGTGTGCACGTTCATTCACATAATAAGCACAAAATACACAACGGTACTGTAACAAAATGCATAAATATACAAAATACAAATATGAATATACTGCGCGCGTGCATGTGTGTGTGTGTGTGTGTGACTTGGATGAAATCATACAATTCATCAATAACAATCAATGATCATTAATATCCCATTCTGTAACAGTAACAAAAGACATCTTTATGAAATAGAGAAAGATGACTTCTAACAAATTCTATTCACTTTCATATTGAGCGTTACATATATGTATGTATAGATCATTTGTCAAACATAAGAGCGCTGGGTTCGGTTTTTTTTTTCTCCACATTTTTACAATATTATCATGATTATAACTATGAATAAGATAATTAAATCAACAACAACAACAACAAAAAAAAAGAAAAAAACCTATAAAATTTGTAGAAAAAAAAGGAAACCTTCATTAATATATACTATAGCAACTTGTGTTGGGATGTGTGTGTGTGTATGTATATATGTGCAGTATTGTTTTGTCAAATGATTACTTCATATATATATGTAATTATGATAGAAACAGTAATGGTAATCATAATCATAACCATCATAGTTCATTAGACAAAATAACACAAAGAAGAAAAAAAAAAGACAGAGAATACAACAACAGTACAAGTGAAATTTCATAGCTAGCCTTTCAACAACAACAACAACAAAAACGGGAACCCGTTTATTGTAATTGTTATTGGTTAAGGTCAATGTTTAATCTTTATTCGTAAAATTTAATCAACCTGAGTTGAATAGATCATTTGGATTGATCCAATCTTTATATATATATATATTCTCTTTTCTTTTCTTATATCATATGGATTATCATTTTATTTTGTTAATTTATTAACCAAGTCTAATTCAGATTGTATTAAAGAAAGACAAGTAGATTAGTGTGTATTAATAATAATAACAATATTCACTACAATAACATACATATTGCCAGGAAAACAAAAACAAATCTTGGATCAACACAATTGTGATTGGAATGCAGTAGTTAAGGCAACTTGTTTTTTTTGTTGTTGTTGTTGTAGTATTGTTATCGTTCATTAACAAATCCAATAGTTACTAAGCAGTAGTGATGATTTTTTTTTCTCCTTTAAGATGTTAAATATATTAACAGATGACAATACAGATTCCCTGAACTGTTACACAGATGTGTTAGTCACTGGTTTCCATGTCACTAAACTGGAAATTCATATTGTATAAATAAATTGAATTATTTGGAAAGGAAGCTTCTAAAGTTTTCATTAGAGGATAAACCGTTAAGGGAAAAGGTTAACAACACTATGGAAGGAATAAAGAAAATTGTAAGGAGATAGTTAAAGAGGAAATACACAAGGAATTGACGCTTAGAAAACAAAGAATGTAGAATAAATATGATGTACCCATATAGATTTAGGTTAGATAAGCGATTTACAGCGTACATTTTTTATGCAGCCAATTGTTTTATTATTCGTTCATACACAAACATTGAAATAATTGTCGTACAGAACACAATTCATATTAAACGCGATAACCATTCTGACGAGCACGTAAATACTCTGATGCATGCACACTATATTTTTCGCTACGATATCTAGTAAGCCGAATTGATTGTCGAAATGCCTCACTTATATTACCACGGTAACCACCTTTTCGAAGAAGAGAATCGATGGTTTCACAATGATTCCAACCTTTATAAAAACAAAAAAACAGGCAAGACTGATAGATTAATGATGAATAAGTGGATACGCTGTAGAAAAAATTGGAGGGGGGATACATGGCACGAGTTTCGATTATTGTACTTGGCGACGAAAAACTATTTTGTTATGTAAAAACTCATGAAAAACATGACGTAATGTTTATTCATAGCCCAACAACGCTGAGACTTCCACGACGCGGCAACAATTAATATGTGAACTTCAGTAAATGTTTAAAATGAATGTACGGTTTCTGCCCCCAAATGCCCTAGTACGGCCGAGAGTGGGGAAAGTCAGTTCTCCCTTTCCGAACGCTCTCAAGTGGCCACGTGCATACAACCAATGCCAGGGAAGTCCTACTCACTACCTTCTCGTGACACGGGTGTTGTTTACGAAATTGAGAGGACGAAAAGCGAATGTCCGACACTTTAACCGAGTTGGTGGATACGTAGGATCCATCTAGGGAAGTTGGAAAACACTGATTCCAAACCAATGGTGCACATGGGCTCCAGGATCGTGCGGAAACGAATGGCGTATGAACCAATTATTGGTCACCGGCTGCCATGAGACTGCGTTGCTCCACCGTCTTGTGGATCAGACCTTTAGTTCAAAGTTTCGGAGTGTAATCCCCTAAGAAAACCACTTGCTTCGGTTTGAGTAACCAAATAGTATCCCATCACTCACATAAATCGAACGATTTATATTTAGCATATCTGTTGGGTGCCTCCTTGTACCAATGTTTATGTATTTAAATAAATAAATAAATAAACTCTGAACAATTAAAAACAGAAAACCTAGAGAATAAAAGATATTTGTCGAGAACCAGGAAGAGCACAGTTATTGTGTCTGGACTCCTTCAATTTCATAACTTAATTGTTATCGCATGAAATTTTAGAGGCTGTAGACAACTGTTGAACACATATGAAGTCTGGATCATAGATATCATGTGAAGCTGTATGGGATTACAATAGAAATCACGAATCGTCTGAAAATAGAACATGGAATTCATGAGAAAAATTAATGTATTTCTGATACAACCAACGATGATTTATATCATACATCTTTCCTAGAAATAAAAAAAAACTGTACAAAGAGATTGACATGTGTAAGATGGCAGATTGTCAGTCAGTAACAATGTAGAACTTCGTATGTATGTACATCAGTCCCAGTTGCCATACCACATTAGCACAGAGATGCAGTTGTCGATTCAAATCCCATAGTATTAGAGGTAGTAAAAGTATAGGCAGTAATCTGAAAGATTAGGGTTTGGAGATGTTATAATACAGTGAAATGAATTTGGGAAGAGAAAAAAGAGACAAGGAGGAATCAGGAAATCAAAATTTGGAAGAACACAAAGAGTGTATGCACCTGCACCATTGTAAACGATTTTGAGCCATGTCATTCAGGGTCTCTAACCATCGGTTTCTATCATCTCGCGGTCCCCAACCAGGTAGTCTACACCTACCAACATTGCTCAATCTACTTGTCAGTGACTTCATGGACTTGTGCCATGTTTTGGTCTGGCCACCCCTAGCTTTCTTCCAACCTACTCCCATACCATTGAACATCGCACGTCGAGGCAGTCGGTGGTTGGGCATATGTAACGTGTGCCAGACATCTCAACTGACGAAGTTTTACTATTTCATCAATTGATTTACCATCCTTACCTAGTACCCGTTTCCTAACAACTGTGTTACTTACTCGATGGTCCCAGTATATACGAGCAATATTTCGAAGACACCTATGATCAAATACTAGTAACCTACGAATATTCTCTACTCTTACCGGCCATGTCTCACTGCCATAAAGTAGGACGGAACGAACTGCTGCACAGTAAACACGTCCTTTGGTTGATAGGCGGATATCTCACCTACGCCATAAATGACGTAAGTTGGCAAAAGCTAGTTGAGCCTTCTGTATCTGTGCTGAGACTTCGTCACACACCAGACCACAAGGGCTGATGAGACTTCCAAGATAAGTGAAGCGGTCGACACGCTCAACTTCTTCACTCCCTATCATTATGTTAGCGGGACATTGACTAGATTAAAGCATGCTCAATGCATGATTGTTTTGGTGCACGCTGATTGGCTGATTCTCATCCAATCAGCACTAGTCGATAGTCGGAGAATACTCTGGAATCTTCTTATGTAAAAACTATAAATATACCGACGTTTTCCCCTATTGTGCTTCCTACTGGCTTCTGACTTGCTATTTGGAATATAATCTTTTTCCTGTTCAACCGTGTTCTGATTTGGGGACTTGTCGAGTGAATCGGTGTCCGAGAATACTAAGCAATAGGAATAGCTGGGTCATTAACCGTAAGAAGAAACACAGATTATAGCACATTAGTACGGGTGTCGATGCAACTCAATCCTGAAGCAACATTTTGCATTTCGAGGGGGGAGAATCGCATCCCAAACATGCTTGCATTGTTGCTTAGGGTGGTCAGAAGACTGCATTTTGACAGAACGGCCGAACCTTGATCTTCTTGGTCTGGATATGCTAGACAAACTTCGAATAATGGATATACCAATTAACAGTGTCTGTAACGTATCGTGTTCATCATTGGACACCCCAGTACTTCCAAAGAAGACAGGTGAAAGGTTACTAGAAAAACTGAAAAGAAAGTTTGCCTCTGTCTTTCAGAATAGCCTTGGCCACTGTACCAAGATGAAAGCGCACTTACCAGTGAAACCAGATGCCATACCTATTTTTCGCCCGAGACGTCCTTTACCATATGCTGCTCTTGAGCTAGTCGACCAGGAACTTAATCGCTTGCAACAGGCTGGTGTAATCCGACCAGTTAACTACTCTGCATGGGCCGCACCGATCGTAGTGATTAAGAAGGCCAATGGGACTATACGCATATGTGCCGATTCCTCGACCGGTTTAAATGCTGCATTAGATGTATACCAATATCCCTTACCAGTTCCTGAAGACCTGTTTGCCAAGCTTAATGGTGGGACATGTTTCGCGAAAATAGACTTCGATGCTTATCTCCAAGTGGAAGTAGATGAAGATAGTAGAGAGCTTCTGACCATTAACACTCATTGAGGGTTATTTCAATACACCCGTCTACCATTTGGCATCAAGACCGCACCCGCCATATTTCAGAAAATAATGGATACGATGCTAAAAGGTATACCTGGTACAGCAGCTTATCTAGATGATATCATAGTTATGGGTTCAACTGACAGTGAACTTTCTGATCGACAACACCAAGTCCTTAACCGAGTGTTGGAGTATGGTTTCCAACTACGTGAGGAAAAATGTATCTTCATGCATTCGATCAAATAACTTGGTTTTATCTTAGATAAGAACGGTCGCCGACCAGACCCTGCCAACATCGAAGCCATTCAGAAGATGCCTGCACCAACTGATGTTTCTTCATTAAGATCCTTCTTGGGGTTAATCAGTCATTACAGCACATTCTTGCCTGAAATGCATCGAGTGAGAGGTCCCCTAAATGAATTACTATCGAAAGATAAACCTTGACAGTGGTCAGCAGAATGTCAAGCATCTTTTGACAGAGTCAAATCAATGCTCAGCTCAAAGATTTTTCTGACGCACTTCGATCCCAGCTTGGAAATTGTTGTTGCATCTGATGCCTTTAGTCATGAAGTTGGAGCAGTGATATCTCACGTGTTTCCGGATAAATCAGAAAAGACAATTGCCCATGTTGCTAGATCACTTACTCCAGCCGAGCGAAACTACAGCCAAATTGAAAAGGAAGCTCTTGCAATCATTTTCGCAGTCAAAAGATTTCATAAAATGCTCTATGGTTGTACATTTATTCTACTGACAGATCACAAACCTTTGATTGCAATCTTTGGTTCTAAGAAAGGAATCCCTGTCTATACGGCTAATAGACTACAGCGCTGGGCAACAATGCTCCTGAGTTATGATTTTAATATCAAGTATCAATCGACAAATACTATCGGTCAAGCTGACGCTCTCTCCCGATTAATTGGAGTTCAACATCCTGGACCAGAGGATATAATCATTGCCTCCACAGCAGTAGACCCAGAAATACGAAGTATAGTGGCAGATGCCATTCGAAACACTCCAGTGTCGTCAGATGAAGTCAGGGAAGAAACGCTTCGAGACCCAACACTACAAGAAGTTAGAAAGTTCCACCTAGAAGGGTGGCCCTCAAAAATCAGTTCCACAGAGCTTCAACAGTTTTACCAGCGAAGACTCTCTCTTTCAATCATCGATGACTGTGCTGTTTGCCGAACGTGTCATAATTCCCAAGAAGCTACAACCAACAGTGCTTGAACAGTTGCATGCAGGACATCCTGGAACAAATCGCATGAAAGCACTAGCACGAAGTTATGTATACTGGCCACATTTAGACACCCAACTGGAGCAGCTATCCCGTTCGTGTACCAAATGTGCATTAGCAACAAAAGCACTGCGAAAAGCAGAGCTGTAATCATGGCCAATGCCACAGTTATCGTGGCAGCGTATACATTTATTACATGGACAAACTTACCTTTTGGTGGTTGGTGCATATAGCAAGTGGCCAGAAATTTTTCTAATGGAACACCCGACTGCAAGCTGCACAGTCAGTAAACTACGTCAAGTATTCAGTCCTTTTGGCTAATTCTTATCCAACCAGCACTAGTCGATGGTTGGAGAATACTCTGGAATCTTCTTATGTAAAAACTATAAATATACTGACGTTTTCCCTATTGTGCTTCTGACTTGCTTCTTACTTCCATTTAACCTTGTTATTTGGAATATAATCTCTTCCTGTTCAACCGTGTTTTGATTTGGGGACTTGTCGAGTGAATCGGTGTCCGAGAATACTAAGCAATAGGAATAGCTGGGTCATAACCGTAAGAAAAGAGAGATATAACATGTAGTTTAGAGAGTGGTTTCAGAACAGGAATAACGTTCAGCTTACTCAAGTCGCTTGCCCTAGCGGTGCGAGGTGATAAACGGACGTGAGAATGGTTAGTCATGGAGATAAGAGAGGTATTAGGAAGTGTAGAAAGGATTTGAGTGCGACCAACTCGATCTAGTGTGGTGTTACGGATATGAGGGCTGACATCACTTCCCGGTCGCCCACACCGTCAAAGGGTATTTCTTGAGGAACCTGAAAAAGAAATTGGATTAGTGTTGATCTTAACGACCTGGGAGCGTGACCGCAGAGCCCAAGGGACAACTGTTTGAGGCCGGTCGCGCACTGCCTTTTTGTGTAAGGTTTTTAATGTGTTGGCCCCGTTCTTCAAAGGGCCTTACAGCCGGAGACGGAAATCCGTGAGGTAAGGTGAGGTGTGACATTTTTAGGGTCGACGTTTTCTAATCCCACCCCTCCTTGTGGGAAAGCGGCATCACTGCAGATGCGGGTTGTCCGAGGGAAACACCTTACTGCTGTCACACCCCTCTACAGTCAGCAGTACGACTTCGCCCTCAGACCTTGAGTTGCTGCTTTTAGTCTTACCGTTCTCTAATCGACCTGTCTGGCATGGTAGAATCTACAGGAACATAAATTCCAGCCAATATAGCTCGGTTGGATCATCACGAAAGGCAAGCCCGACCACCGCGTCAAGGTAGCAGCTCAGTAAAATACAGGTCATAATTAATAAGTTATAACGGTAATAATTGATTATTTCATTTGAATATTAGGATGAAGATGTTAGATCTATTCAAACATCCAACCGTTGTCTGATACGACCTACAGATGTAAAATCCTTAACATTCCTAAACAATTAATCTATAGATGACGTGGATGTGGTGGCTTGTATATTACAAAATAAGAAAGTCAGGAGGGGAATCGTTAACCATACAAAATCGGCTAAACCCTAGAACATGTAATAAATCGATTGAGACTTTTTACTGAAATGCAATAAAAGTACTTAGCTATCTCTCAGTTAGAAAAAGTTTGAGCCTCACCTTGTTTGTAGGCAACTTCAGGCAAATACGTAGCAGTGCGATGATATCCCTTTTCATTAACAAATTCAATTCGAATTCCATGAACACCAATCTATTTTAGGCAATAAGAAAGTACAGATTACTACTCATTTTTAAACATCTGTATTTTCCAACGAGCGAAAACAAAACGAAATTATTTTTACAGATAATTACATTGGTTGTAATAGATTAATGGGATTATTAATTACATGAAAAACCATAAGCCAGGCTCAGTAGACTAATCAAGTCAGCTCGTACTACCTGTGGTCTAGAAAAGGTGTTTGTCTATCAGAGAGAGGGTATAACTACAATGCAGTACACTACTTAGTACCAAATGCGTGTGAAGCGCGGTCTTGGAAATAATAGAACTTATGTAGGTTGCGCATACTTGATCATAAGAATTTCTGACCCATTACTCATGTACAGTGGGATAACTAGATGAAGAAAGTTAGGCTTAAAGTACTAGGTAAAAACGTCAGAAACAAGCGTTAACAACAGCCAATCAAATTCAATATACACAGAACAGTCTACTAGCCAATTGGGGTGGGATACTCATAACTCATTTGGTAATGATTTCTAGAAAAACAATGAAAATTTTGCGATTATACCAGTGAAGTAAATATTAAGTCCATGGATAACGCTAAAAATTATCAGTGATTGAGGTAGTTGCTTACGTATGTCTTACCAACGCCCACTTACATGTCCAATGATGACTGACATGCAAGTAGGTTGGAAAAAAACTAGGATTGAAGAGATCAACATGTTATTAATCCACGACGCTATTAGCTACTGGTTTAAGCTATATCAGTATGCGCACTTTCTGATTCAGCCCTGTACAATAATTCCAATCACTTGTTGGATAATGGTGCGAAATCGATGTATTAGTTCTATCTAGTTCTTGTCTTCCTTGAGATCTTGAATTAAATGCCATGCCTTATCTTTTGACCAGATTACCTTATTTTGAAACTCACCTCTGATGTTTCAGAATTTTTTTCCGTCGAAATTAAGTTCTCTCCTCTGAAGTTCCATTTTTGACGAACTAATTTAGAATGTAGTAATTAGGATAGATGCATATTTTTGCTAGATCATACGTCGTTTATAACTGACTGGCATCACTCTTGATTACAGGAGTAATGGTTGGAAAGTTTGGGTACAAAATTCCCAGTTACTGAATCACGATTCGGGAGTTCGACTCATCATTATCGATCCGAGCGGCTGAGTAATATTAGCCCTAATAAAAAGCGAACCTAAAGATCTACTGCACCAACCTAAACACTGTTACAGAGTTATACTCACGTACATGATATAAATTGAAATATGGATAATAATAAAGTATTGCATCGTGTAACTCTAATAGACAACCCGGTTAGGCATGGTGGAAATAAAGGGACGGGTATTTAGGGATTACGAAAGATCAGTTGCTTGGTGGCTAAAGCAATTAACTTGAAACAATTAGGTTGAAGTTTGAGATCAAAAACCCTAAACTATTGATTTTGACCCGTAAATATAAACCAACCTGCCAATCCTGATAGTTTTTCCCCTCTTCAAAATTCAAAAGCAAGGAGACTGAACATGTGAGATGAGGAAACTCTTCTTCTGTTATTGGTGAAAAGCGACTGTCTTTGATGGCACTGAAAGATTTAAAATATTAGGAAAATATAAATAAACCTGTTAATCGCATATTCACGAAGACCGCTATGGATATTCATGGCAGTAAAAGTACCTATACATCCACGCAGCTTTTCCTCTTTTCCGTACGTCCATGTCACGAAAAGCGGACTATAGGTAAATGAGTAAGACTTTAACTTACTAAGAACTGTTTGGAAATGTCTTGGGGGCAGGGGGAGGTTCAATATTACGCAAATGGTTGTGAAGGACGTCAAAGCAAAAGTAACACATTTCACGTCTAACAACCCCAGGTGTGCTAAGGCCATTACGAGGAACGCATGGTCGTGATGTTGATTCCTCATCCAACCTTTGCTTTTTGGCTCCAAAGCAAGACGAAGGAGCTCTGGAACGAGCCATAAACACGACTGTCTAGACGTAGTGACCTAGGACACACAAACCACCCACCGTCCTTCACCAGAAACAAAGGGATGCATGTAATTTCATTCAAGCTTCAAAAACCTGCTAAACAATATAATTTACTGATTATTTCTGGTAATAAGAGTATGGATTATAATGAGTGCTCAGTCTTTTAAAATATCTGAATGACTGATCCAATAAACAATAACCCTGCGATTAGCTACCAGTGTAAAAAAAAGTAGTTGCCAACGTCTGGTTTGTCGTTATCTCGTTGAAAGCGGCATGCAGTGCGACGAGTGCAAAGGCTGGTACCACGAAGTTTGCACGAACTTAAAACCTGCTGCTTTCAAACGGTTCAGTAAGAAGGGTTGTGTATGGCTTTGTCAACAGTGCTGCTCGGATGCAAACAGCTTGTTAACCGAGGCCATCTCACTGGTTGATGCTGCAAAGAAGTGTTTTAGCAAGCATAGTCGGAACACATCAAACAGCACTCGATCTGTTGACACGCAAATCGACATGAAGCAAACTAAGGTTAGTTCGATAATAGATGATTCACGCCCGTCGAAGAAGGAAAAGCAGTCTCAAAAGGGGCCTACATTAAACAAAAGCTCAAGGAAAGTAGGTTCTTCTGTTCTCCGTCCCCCAGATGGGATCCAACAGGAAACGCCTAGAAGCCTCAATCGCAAGGCTCGATCGGTTTCAAGCGGTAAACATAACCTGACTTTTCAGGTCGTCGACAATCCCCCAGAATCCAACACTAGGTTTGACGCAATTGTTGTTGCTTCTCCCAACACCGTTGACGAATGGGTACAGGTTGTAAGGAAGAAAAAAGGTAGCGATATATAAGGTAATCCAACCCCGCAAATGTAGTCGTAAAGTCGAAAGCTGATCATAGCGACAGATCAGCTATTTTTCATGGCGTCTAGGAGAGCGATAGCTCTGAACCTAAAGCTCGTTTTGAGCATGACATTGTGCTGATTAAGCAGCTGCTTAATCAACTCATGCCTCAAAATATGACGGGGGTCACCTTGCTAAAGGTGTACAGACTAGGGAGTCTAGCGGACTCGAAACCAAATCATTCCAGACTGCCTAAAGTAGTATTCAACTCTTCGAACGAACGTGACGCAATTTTACAGAATGAACACAAATTAAAGGGTTCAGGAGTCTTTATCCGAAAGAACTTAGCGTTGGCAGACCGTGTCAAAAGGCCGGAAGCCGGAAAAGAACTACAACTTAGGCTAGACGCTGGCGAAAAGAACCTAAAAATTGTATATTTTCGGGTTTTAAGGCTTTGACAGAGAATGATGCCGAAGCCACTCTGGGTGAAGCACGAAGGCACTTAAACAGGCTTCGGATATGTTACACCCATGCACTTACTTACTTACTTTCCTTACTTACGTCTGTTACTCCCAATGGAGCATAGACCGCAGACCAGCATTCTCCAACCCACTCTGTCCTGGGCCTGCTTTTCTAGTTTCATCCAATTCTTGTTCATTTTTCTCATGTCTATCTCCATTTCTCGGTGTAATGTGTTCTTTGGTCTTCCAGTCCTCCTTTGGCCTTGAGGATTCCATATGAGGGCTTGTCTTGTGATGCAGTTAGGTGCTTTCCTCAATGTGTCTCCTATCCACTTCCAGCGCTTCTTCCTGATTTCCTCCTCTGCTAGTACCTGGTTTGTTCTCTCCCAGAGTAGGTTGTTGCTGATAGTGTCCGGTGAATGGATCTGAAGTATTTTGCGTAGATAACTGTTAATAAGCACTTGTATCTTCTGGATGATGGCTTTGGTAGTTCTCCAGGTTTCTGCCCCATACAGTAGAAATGTCTAGACATTTGTATTGAAAATCCTGACCTTGGTGTTGGCTGACAGAGAGTTGTTTTGAGTTCCAGATGTTCTTCAGTTGTAAATATGCTGCTCTTGCTTTACCGATCCGCGTCTTCACATCTGCATCAGATCCACTCTGTTCATCAATGATGCTGCCCAAATACGTAAAGGTTTTTACATCTTCCAAATCTTCTCCGTCAATTGTGATTGGCTTGGTGCATTTTGTGTTGTATCGGAGAATCCTGCTTTTCCCGTTGTGTATATTGAGACCTACTGCTGCTGAGGCTGCTGCCACACTGTTCGTCTTCTCCTGCATCTGTTGTTGCGTTTGGGATAGAAGGGCCAGATCATCTGCGAAGTCTAGATCATCCAACTGCATATTAGATGTCCATTGTATCCCGCGCTTCCCTTCAGACGTTGACGTCTTCATGATCCAGTCGATCACCAGGAGAAAGAGAAAGGGTGAGAGTAGGCAACCTTGCCTAACACCGGTCTTCACTTCGAACGACTTTGTCAACTGTCCTCCATGCACGATTTTGCAGTGTAATCCATCATATGAGTTCTGTATGATATTAACTATCTTCTGAGGCACGCCGTAGTGTCGAAGAAGTTTCCATAGTGTTGTTCTGTCCACCCTATCAAATGCCTTTTCGTTGTCAATGAAGTTGATGTAGAGCGATGAATTCCATTCAATTGATTGTTCCACAATGATCCGTAGAGTTGCGATTTGGTCTGTACACGATCTATCCCTACTGAATCCTGCCTGTTGGTCACGAAGTTGGGCGTCTATGCAGTCCTTCATCCTGTTTAACAATACCCTGTTGAAGACGTTTCCTGGTATTGAGAGAAGAGTGATGCCCCTGTAGTTATCACACTTGCTGAGATCGTCTTTCCTCGGTATTTTGATCAGAAGTCCTTCTTTCCAGTCTGTTGGTACTTGTTCCTCATCCCAAATCTTATTGAAGAGAATGTGGAGTATCCTTGCAGTTACTGCTACGTCTGCTTTCAGTGCCTGTGCTGGAATGTCGTTTGGTCCTGCTGCTTTGCCACTCTTGATTGTCATATGGCCATGCTGATTTCTTCAATTGCGGGTGACCAACATCGGTTGGGAGGTCCGTGGGTGCTGCTTCGATGTTGAGTGGGTTCAGTGGAGCTGGTCGATTCAAGAGTTCTTTGAAGTGTTCTACCCTCCTGTTTTGTTGCTCTTCAATGTTGGTGATTACCCCGCCTTCCTTGCTTTTCACTGGTCGTTCTGGTTTGCGGCGATTTCCAGAGAGTTTCTTTGTCGTGTCATACAATTGTCTCATGTTTCCTTCTCTTGCAGCCTTTTCCGCCGTCGTTGCTAAATCTTCCACATATTCACGTTTGTCGGTTCTGATGCTCTTCTCCAATTGTTTGTTTACTTCTGTGTATCCAGCCTGTGCCTTGGCTTTTTCTGCTCTTGTTCGACTGGTATTGATTGCTGCTTTCCTGTTCCTCCTTTCTTGAATCTTATCCAGTGTATCAACAGTGATCCATTCCTTGTGGTGGTGCTTCTTGTGACCCAGGACCTCATGACATGTTGAAGTGATTGCCTCTTTGATCCCCTTCCAATTCCTCTCCATAGTAGTTCCTTCTCCATTGAGTAGATCATGAAAGGTCTGGAACTTGTTGCTGAGGACTATCTTGAATTTGTTGAGTTTGTCAGTGTCCTGAAGAAAGGCCGTATTGAACTTTTGTGATATTGTCCGCCCCGTTGTCCAGTGTTTCTTGAGTTTCAATTTCATCTCGGCGACCAGCAAGTGATGATCTGATGCTATATCAGCTCCTCTCTTGGTTCTCACGTCCTCCATCGTCCTCCTGAACGTTTTGTTGATGCAAATATGGTCGATTTCGTTTTGTGTAGAGTGATCCGGTGAAGTCCATGTGGTTTTGTGTATGCGTTTATGTGGGAATATGGTGCCGTCTATGACCAGTTCATTGAAGGCACATAGATTTGCAATTCTCACCATTTTCGTTTCTTTCACCCAGTCCCTGTCGTCCCATGATGTCTTCATATCCAGTGTTGTCCACTCCAACCTTGGCGTTGAAATCTCCCATCAGAATGATCAGGTCCTTTGTTGGGCACTTCTCGACGATTGACTGCAGCCTATTGTAGAATTGATCTTTAGCGTCTTCATTGTAGTCGTTGGTAGGCGCATAGCATTGAATGATGTTCATTGAAATACCCTCTTTCTTTGTGTTGAAGGAGGTTTTGATGATCCTTGGTCCATGAGATTTCTGTCCTATAAGTGCCTTTTGTGCTTGTTTGGACAGCATCAATGCAACTCCTTGTGTATGTGGAGTATTTTCTTCTTCATGGCCGGAGTATAACAGAAGCTCTCTAATGTGTTTCACTGATCCTAAGTACCTCTAGGTTGTATCTTCTCATTTCTGCAGCAATTTGGAAGGCTCTCCCGGTGTCCCACATTGTACGAACATTCCATGTACCTAAATAAATGGTCGCTCTGGTTGTCAGAAGGGGCATCGGCCTCGTAACTTCCGAAGGAATTCGGCTTTCATCATGAGGCGTCATAATTCTTCTAAATGAAGATCTTCTGACTCCCAGAGCAGAGTTTAAAAGGTTTGAGTAAGTTTTTCTGGTTAGCGTTTTTTTAGCGAGTTAGTTTTCTACAGGATGGGGACGCTAACCCCATGCCCAACGCTGCTCCTTTATCCGGGCTTGGGACCGGCAGTAGCCCCCGGAGGGTCTCCAGGCGGAGTTACGCCAATGCACGAAGCTTACTTAATAAGCGATCGGAACTAGGTGTAGAGATTGACTCTACAAAGCCAGACATACTCGCAGTCACAGAAACCTGGTTGACACAGGCTATAGATATTATGGAACTTGATAGTGTATCCCATGAGAGTGGGACGTGTGAATTAGTTGGTCTTCGCTTGAAATGCAAGGGACAAGAGCTGCTGATTGGTTTGGTCTATCGCAGTCCAAGCTGTGAGGTAAATGAAGTCCTGCTAAGCAGTCTCAATACTTGGTCACAAGGTGGTCGAGGTCTAATCCTAAGGAACTTTAATGCACCTATGGTAGACTGGGAAAATCTGCGAACTAAATCATCGGAGAATTCTTTCGAGCAGGAACTAGTTGATGGGGTTATCACATGTGCTCTAGGGCAACATGTGAAAGAAGCGACAAGGTACGATCTGGACACTGAATCATCCTTACTAGATCTTATACTGACTCACTATGA